ACCGGAGTTTCCTCCCGCCACCATCCCCTTCGACGTCTTCAACGCTCCAGCACCAGCTGCCCACTTTGTCCTCCCACCTCGCCATCATGACTCGCCGCCCATCAACCATCTCTGCCAGCCTACGGTTTACCATCTCGCAACCTGCGAGCCCCTCCCCTCTAAAAGGGATGTGGAGCCGGGATCGACTACACCTAATACCAGGCCAAGAACGCAGGTGAAAGCAACGGCGACGAGCTAAGAAGCAGGGGGAGGAATACAAAGAGATGGTATGAATATGGTGCTCCTGCAATGCCGAGAACAACGATGAGAACAAGAGACAAGAACGAGCGATGGGGAGAGAACCAGAGGCGGGCAACGGCGGTGGTGGGAGTCGTTGAGAGTAAGCCAGCGGCGGCAGAGCGAGGCCATGAAGCCGTTGCAAGCGGGAGATGAGGATAGGTAATTTCCCCGCCCGCGGCGCGAGCTGTCGCCTTTGCTTTTGCCTCCGCCTCCGTTGTACACCTGTCATGATAGCACGTAGATACAACGCTATATGTCGTTAAACCTTACATGCATATGTAATAAACATAATGTTATTTTTGGTGAATACAAGCAGACTTGAGGCCTTGAGGAAGCGTCTCTTTCCATTTGATGTACAGACACAGAAACAGTAGCCAAGAGGACTTTACATGCTGTATACTTCTCTCTGAGGCTCAAGGTATGTTTTTCAGGATCTCTATCTTATTATATACTCTCCGAGAACCTCAAGGACATCCTTAGGAGGTACTTAGGCCAATATTATAAAATGCAGTTTGACGTGTGACGGGTGAGTCGGAGTCCGGCTCATGAGTCGGTGAGCCGGAATATTCATTTCAGACTCGTTCTCCACCGGGCAAAGGCCAAATGCGTGGCGGGTCGGTCACATCACGTGCACGGCCATCACCGATCAACGCGATCAACGGCATGACCTGACGGCATACCATAACAGGCAACGGCCCTGACCTGGGCCCTTAAATTTACAAAGATAAGTCGTAACTTTACTAGGTGTCTCCTTCTACCTAGTACCAAACATTTCAACTTGGATGTCACCTCGAAACTATGAATCCGCGGAACCCTTTTGAAAAGAAAACCGTCTTTAAGCAACAGTCCGAGAAGTTGCCGTTCAGCAAGAACCGTCCTCACGCCTGTGAGTACTGTCATGTCGTGAGACGTCCAGGACAAACCCCTTTCTCGGTCTGCGCGTCATGCCAGTCGGCTCGGTACTGTGTAAGTGGTGCATTCTGACCATTCTTACGTGCGCTCAGTTCTTTTCCATTTTATACCTATTTCTTCTCTTAATCTCGTGTCGGTCATTGACAGAGCCGCGAATGTCAAGTCGGGGACTGGCGCTCCCATAAACCCATGTGCAGCTTGCGGGAGAAATACCGCGCGACAGCAGAGGATATGAAAAACGAAGCCCCAGAAATTACTGCCCAACGCATCAAAGACCAGAGGCATAGCCGGAACCTCGAAGACTTCTGCATGCTGCACAAACACACCATCACGACCGCCGTATCGTCTGCGCTCTATCTCGAGCTGAAGAAGGGACCGTTCGATTTCGAGAACCGGTACTTGGACGTCAAGCTTCAAGAAAGAAGGCCGGGCCAGGAGGATGTGAACCCTGCGACGCGTTTCACTGTACAATCGGCCGGATTCCGTGACGACCCCACAGGACCTATTGAAGAGCTCACGATTGAGGAGAAGACGATGATTTTTTACCGTCCTAGTATTACCGAGGCGTCGCCGAACCCTTCAGATTGTCCGGGACTGGTCGGTACTGTGGCCAGTATATGTAAGTTCTCTATTACGCGTTTCGACGGCCTCATTCATCTCGAGACTCATGACGAACACATATCTTTCCAGTTTCCTCAGGCTGCGACACCGCACCATATATCCTCCGCGTTACCCTTATGGACTTCGAACTGGACAAAGACGCGCCGCATGCGCAATGGCTTAAGGAATTCCAGACCTTTATCAACAAAGGCATCGTCTTCCGCATCGCTAACAAGCAGCGCCACCCCGGGATGATGGAGATGGCTGGCAAGGCCTGGGTCTGGAAAGCAAAAACGCTGGAAGAGCTGAATAGGAGGTTCAATTTCAACTTGATATCGAGGATTTTGACGTATGAGGTGAGTTGATCATGTTCCGATCCATATTTTTCTCGTGAATAACCTTCCATGCAGCCAAATTTTCACTTGAGCACGCTACGTCGTCTCAATGGTGATCCCGATTTTGAAGATATGAACCGGAGAGTCAGGTAGGGCTTGTGATTGCGTAGCAGGCTCGTGAGATTTAGTACCAGCCCAACATTCATTGTAATATACTTAGGCTGTTCAGTCATGAAAAAAATAGAATACGTCTACGTCAGTCACCCCAACTGGCGCTGGTACACAGAACAATGAACAAAATCATGACCATTAAAGATGTACTCGAGTAATGCCATCAGAAGGATGGATGATTCATCGGATCGATAATAGAAGAAAGCGATTGGGCGAGGCCAACCCTGTAATAAGACCTTTCTATGAAAGAGAGCACGATGTCAGTCGGCTGTAGTGTTCGATAGAAGGATTGAGAGGGCGGCTGATGACTTCAGGTATTTCTATCTGCATCAACGCAGTCGAAGCAGTGCTGTCAAGCCCACAAACACCTCTCCATACCGCTTCTCCAAAACGTCTCGATCTATCACCTGCAGTTCCATTCCAGTTGAGGAGCAATAAGTCGCCATATGCCCCGCCATCGGCGAGACATGAACCTCAATCGAAACCGAGCGCAGGCATCCTCCGACTTGCCTCCGACGTAATTTTATGAATGATATCGTCAATGTGCTTCAGATTGGGGGCAAGGTCATACTGAATGATATGGAGAGCGACGACGATGTGTTCCAGGACGTTGTTCCCGCGCCATGCTTCCAGTTTTGAGGTTATTACATTTATGCGATTTTCGATTCCGGAGCAATGGCGTAACACCACGAGAGTGAGCGTCGAGGTTCTGATTGGGCCCGCCAGAAGTACCCTAGACAGTCCAGAGAGTTAAAGTTTCCTAGATGTCAAATGGGTACCCGTATGTGTCCTCGATGCATGCCGAGAAATAATGAAACACAGCTCACTTGTACAGCTAAACTTTAGGTCAAGGTCGACTTTCATCAGCCTCTTCGTAAGTTCAATGTCATCATCACGCTTCCACCGCACCATAAGCTGTCTGAGACGCGTAAAGTCCAAAGACGGTAGGACGAGATCGGCTCTGTGTACACACTTTTGTCCATGTGCATGAACGGCGCCCTATATCAGACAGTTGTGGATACAATTCACGGACATCGCCCATATTTGTGTACTCATACAGTCGAGCTGGAGGAGGAGGATCTGCTGTCATTGTAGTTATCATCGGATTATCAGCCAGACTTTCAATGACACGAACTCCGATGTAGTGGGAATACTCATCTTCTCGTACGCCACCGTCTTGCTTCTATCCATCACAAATTCAATAGGAAAGTTGACCACATGACACAACCTCAGTCTCTGCAACTCCGGAGGGCGCAAGGTGGCCTCCATGGCAGAGAAAAAGGTTTCGCGTCGGCGCACGATAGGCCAATCCAAGGGCAATGGTGTAGTGAGATCTGACAGGGCACTCGGCTAGATTAGACAGATAGACTAAGATTAGATGCCATCAGAGGCAGTGCATGTCTATATGTGGGATGCTCGCGGTCGCGCATCCTAAGATCCTTGCCTTTGCCTTCGACGCGACACCGAACGGCTTGCTCGACGCGTATCCGAGCCCTGGCTTCCTAGGGTAAGCCTGATTGGCCTACTCCAACAGGAAAGGCCTCTTGCTTAGATACTGATAGTATTCCAGGTACAACTCCTCTTGGCGATCGAAGGAGCAATGATTCCGCCTAACATGGACAACATTCCACCCTCCAATGGGGAATCCAGATCGGTAGATAGAACTGTGAGGCTGATGGAATGAACGCAGTGAGGAATATAGGGCGAACACGCTGGAAAGGCAGGGAGTCCTGACATTAGGGCTGGGTTTTTTATTGGGTGTTAATAACATACCTATTTATCACGTGTTATTAACAGGTTAATAACATTTATAACACGGAGGGGGTCAAAATGGTCGGTGATTTATTGTGATAAATTATAAATTGTCATGGATGGCTGTTGGATAGATTATGCAGTAAAAATGCATTGCATTGGACCATGTACAGAATGCGCAGCGAGTAAAAGGGAGTAACAGCTGTGACGAGTGACCCGGGCACCTTCCAGTGTCTCGTAAGCTCAGGATGTTGGAAATCCGGGAGAGTGGGGCATTGACAGCTTCTTCTAGATGTAGGAATACATTTTATTGCTTAATTCCCATTCTTTAACGCAGAAAGCGTACTCAAAAGGTCTCCAAAAGGGGCCGTTTTCTCTTGATTACATAACCTTATGACATAATAAAACACCGTTAATAACAGACGTGTTTAATACCCGCCCAGATGCCGAAAATTTATCACATTTCTAACATGGCCAAAATAATAAATAACCCAGCCCTACCTGACATGAGGTGGGGAGGCACTGCCATAGCCAAGGTCCAGTCGGATCGTCTGAAAATTTATGCTTTGCGCCAGAGGAAGCAACGTATTGCAGCAAAGAGATAGAGATTTCAGTGTGTCTTTCAAATCAGGTGCATCGAGCTCATCTATATGATGTTAGAGAAGCCGTAGGAAGGGAATTCAGTCTGTCGTTCTACTTTTGAATAATTCCGAAAAGAAACAGAATATCAATCAATTGAAGACATCTGCATGTACAATTTAAGAAGATGAGGTGTGGAATATCCTGTGAATGAAAACTTGTCCGTATCGGCTTTCCAGGACCTCTACGTCGAGCGGAAACAGCTCATGTCCCTGAGCGACCAAAAGTTCTTAGACACGCGGAGGTAGTGACAGCTATAGTGTCCACTCGACGACCGGAGATTGTATCGCCGAGAAAAGACAAAAAGCAAAGCGACGCCAGCAGGATTTGAACCTGCGCCCTCAAAGAGGAACAGATACTTATATTACGTAATTCTAAGATTACGTAATTCGAATCTGTCGCCGTAAACCACTTGGCTATAGCGCCGATGA